GACGACACGCTGGCTGACATGTATGCGTGTGTGAATAAACCCAATACAAGGTCGACACGAAATCGTAATGTTGAGATAGAAAGCGCATCTGCTTACGATGATGTCCAAACAGAACTACTGGTTCCTATCAGACTGAGAGTCGATTTGACTGTAAATCCACGTCCGACCACAAGGAATGCAGATCATGTTGGTGACGAAATTCCGACCACGCAAGTTAGTGACATGTATGCAGTCGTTGACAAGAGAAATTCTGGGAGACCTCGAAAGATGCCAACAGATAGACCAGTGGATGCCGAGTCAATTGATGATGATGACAACGTGCCTGTAGTACCCCCTAGAAGAATGTCAATTGTAGATTCTGAAGGGAACAATCAGCAAGAAGGTTTTGTAGAAAATGACATTTACCAGTCAACTGGGGAGTCCGACGTTGATGATGCCGCTTTACCTTCACCAATCCCACTAAAGGATGGAAATAGAGGCGCACGTACCACAGAGAAAACGGCAGGCGATTATGAAGGATTTGCAGAGTGTGCTATTTACCTGTCAGCTGGGGGTGCCGACGATGATGAAAATAACAGCCAATCACAGGAGGGTTTTGTTGACAATGTCATCTATGAATCAATGTAATCATTGGTGTGCACCAAGTGCTTACATAACTTTTAAAATTGTTTCAACATATGCGTCTTGATTCATGAAGACATGGTAGCAGTGTTTCACAATTTTGGGCTTCTAATTTTTAGGATAAGAACGCTTCAACTGCTACTTTCTTGTACATCTTATATTTATTTTTGTCGACGTCATAATAGTCTATGACAGGATAGTCGTATACAAATCAGTGCAAACAAATAAAACCTTATTTTCCAAAAGGATAGTGAGTGAGAAATGGCTCTCTTGAACACATTACCTAATCACGTGATTAGGAATATGTTAGTAAATTTCTTCAAAATATCAGAATCGAGCGAGTAACAAGTTGTGGCTTTTGTCTTGTGACAGTGTTAGGGGGAGGAGTGAGAGCTCTCCTCAAACAGCATGACCTGAATTATCATTGCAGTATTTACTTCATGGTTTGTTGCGATTTCATAGAGATTAAACAGGTTTGTTGTGATCTTTCAGTCACTCACTCATGTAAATGTCCAGCTGAATAAAGTAACATGTGGACGTTGGTGGGAAACACCGAGGGACAGACAGACACAACCTCTCTCACAACCTTCTAAACAAAACCAATTTTTCAATTTAAAGTAGTAATATGCCCAATAATTATTATAATTATATCGATTTCATTACAAAATTCAAAAGTTAAAAATATTATAGTATGTAATTGTAACGAAAGTATATTATATTTTTCCAACAGTTAAAAGATAGTGCTCGTCATGAAGAACGTATTTCGTGTAAACAAATCTATTTACATAAGTTGTACTTGTCACTATTGGTTCCACATTGAATATGATATGGTGCACATTATGTTTTAATTTTTACTTGCTTTCATCATACCGTCACATTGATGTGTGATCATGTTTCCCACAATGCCACACATGACTTGGTTTTTCCGGTTATATTTTTTGCTTGAAACCTGTGCATTGCTACCTATATCCTCCATATACTTTGCTTGCGTAGACATTTCATTTCTTTTATGCAGAATCTACAGACTAATCATTATAAGTAACTTATAATTAATATAGTATATACACGAATTGCATCATGGGTCATGCACATAGGGCTTCATATATTACTTAAAGTAGTCATCATTTTTTTCAACATTCGAAATTCACATTTTTATTAGCTTATCAGGCATCATCTATGCATTTAAACTATCACAAATGAAAATTCGTTTGCAAAATTTAAAAAGGTTATAGTAATGAATTTGAATTTCTTATTGTTAATGTGGGTGTATAACCTTTGGTTTCATTGAAAATATTTGTATTGTCTTTTTCATGGATAGATTTGTAGAGTTGACATATACTGTTTTTAATTTCTGAAATGAATATATTAGAAGATGTTCAATCCATTACGCTCATAGTTAATAAT